CTGTGAAAGGAGGAAATGGGTTCACATGGATTCTCACACCATGTCATCATTTCCAGGGGCTTTCAGCTGTCCAATTCTTCTCTGAATTGATTATCCTGAGTCAGCATTTTTATGTGCTATCTAATAGATTTTGCATGTGACCTGAAGTTTTTAGTGGAGAGTTGAGCTTGTAAAGGTCAGCGTTGACAGCAGAGACTTCGGCCATTTGTACTGTCAAAGTAATTTCACTAAGGTACAGTTCTTCCCAAGTGAGCAAGCTGCTGGGGTGGGATGTGACAGTTCTTGGCTGAAACATTATACCTTCCTATCCAAAGTAGCATGCTTCATGCATCTAAAAACCACAGAAAGCCAAGTGCCTCCATCTAAGCCACTTTCTAATAATCTTTTACAGGTATAAACCTTCACTATTAAGCTTGGTGCTGCTGGTGTTTTGTCCCGTGGTCTGGCCTTGCACGCAGCTGCAGTAGGCAGCCTCTGCACTGGCAGCATGGAACAGTCCTTAGACCTGATCCAAAGCCCAGGAAAGGTAATGGGGTTATTTCCAGTCAACCTCAGTGGGCTGTGGGTCCAGTACAAAGTTACGTTTTATGTGACATTGGTGAAGTTACACATAAAAAGAAAGCCAGTGCTGCTGCTGGTGCTGCTTCTTGGAAAGTGAAAGACAATAGAGTTCTTAGCTGTTAGGAAGCAAAGATATAGACTGCCTGCACAGCTTTGAGGTGTTAACCTTCCTTATGAGAGCTGGGTGTTCAGCAGCTTGCCAGTTTGAACCCTGATTGACAGAATATACTCGTGACTCTGCATTTAATCATGGCTGCTGATTGGAGTAATTTAATCAAAGAACTGACTGGGGTAATTTGGAATAGGCCCCACTGGTGAATGTCAGTAGTTAAGATGGATTGCCCAGTGGAGACAATAGGTGGTAAAAGATAGGGTAGAGGGTAGGCAGTAAATAACTCCCATGTTGTCTGGCACGGGACACTTCAGTCTTGTTCACTGCCAGTTCCCTCTCAACTTCTTATCATAGTGAAAACCCCACAGTATCAAAATATTCGTAGACAGGGTGAGCAGTGAGGTGAGGAAGCTTGCTGATGATGCATCAGTCAGATCATTGAGGAAAGGGCAGACTGAAGAATTCTGGAAGGGCATTGTGAGGCTGAGGTTCTGGACAATAGAGTCGTAAATCATATACAGCCTAGGTATACACGCCGTAATGTGCATAGGGACAAAAGCACAGATCAGAACTTCACCTGTGAAATTACTAACTTTGAGCTGACCTATAGCATTCAGGAACAAGATGCTGATATGGTGTATCACTTGATGAAAGGCTTGTATAAGTGCTCAGTAGTGGTCAGATATGTAAATCAAGCATTAGGAATGGTTAGGAAAGGCATAGAGGATAAACCAGCAAATGTCGCCATACCATGGCACAAGTCCGTGTTTTCCCCTCACCTGTGCAATTCTGGTCCTCTCATCTTAAAGAGGATATAATAAGCTTGGGAAAGGATAAAGGAGGGGCAACAAGGATAAACGAAGGTAAGGAGTGACTTTGACTTGAAGAGTTACCACAGAGACTAGAAGCCTGTAGGCTGGAAGAGAGACAACTTGCCAGGAATATGATGCAGATCTCTAGGCTCAGGAGTGGCATGGAGAGGTATGGATAGGGGTTAGCCATTCAGTGTCTCTTCTGAAACAAGAACATTATACAAAGCTAGTAGCTGTCAGGTTCAGAGCAAAAGGAGGTGGTTCTTCATAGAGTGTGTAGCAGACCCGGGAAAATTGTTGCTAAAAGATGTTGTGGATGCCAGAACTCTCTCTGTGTTCAATAAAAAGCTAAAGAAGTACCTGGAGGAGAAATCCATTGAAGAACCTCAATATGGAGGAACCCCATCTGGCTCAGAAAATCCCCTGACCTGAATAGTTGCAGACAGGGAGAGTACAGAGAAGGAAGTATCATTTATGCTTGTCTTTTTCTTTCTCTTCCCTCAGTATTCATTTGTGGCCACTGTCAAAGTCCGCATACTGGGTTCAAGGACCTTTTAATCTGACACAGCCCGAGTGTTCTTGTGAAACTATTTCTGTCGGGTGCCCCAGAGGAGAGGTCTGCAGCAGCCCCTCTGAGCTCCCCAGCAGCAGATCCCCATGGCAGAGGATCTGTCTACATACACCACCATTACCTAGCTTGCTCTATGTTGTCTTCCTCCTCTGTCTTGTTTATGCAGTGTGCACTTTCATCCAGATGTTTGCATGAATTATCTGTTAAATTATAGAAGTCTTTTTTTTTTTCTTGTAATAAAAAAATGTTGCTAGGCATGATGTTTGAAAATGAGGGGAGATATGTAGACTATTGGACTTAGTTGTCATGAAAAAGGAGGAGAAAAAAAAAAAACCTTGCCTTTTTCATTTTTGAAAGCTTTGGGTGCCATCTGCTGGGTTCATAGGACCTTACGCGCGGGAGCAAAATTGCTAGTTGTTGGTTGAAAAGTGCTTGAAGATCTGAATTTAACCAGGGTTGCAGTGTCTGTTTGCACCTCCTGGTTCTTTTGGCTCTGTTGGTGATAACATAACTTGGGTCTGTGGGATGTACTCTACCACACAGGGAAGTGCCTGCTTACGCTTCCCTTTTAAAGATACCATTCAGACTGAATTCTGTAATGGTTGTCACTGTGGTCACATAATGGTGGAAGACAATAAGAATTGTGAGGCGTTGTGTCCTGGCCAGGTATTGCAGTAGCAGAGCATACTCTGCTGCTCTGAGCAGCATTCAGGCTGTCTGAGGCTGCCGGAGATGGGGACGGGCAGACGCTGAGGAGCTGAAGAAGGCTGTTTGTCCAGAGGCCCTGGCTGCTACCTCTGTTTGATACGAGGCATAGGTGTACAACAGCAAGATACAGCCCTGTACGCTGAACTGTGTGAAGGGATGGTATGTGAGCGTACCTGGTGGGTGAGGCAAGGTCCATGGGATGGGCATGGTGCCTGCTCTGCACCTGGTGACAGTGAGTTGGCATCTCTGGGCTTGCAATGTGAGATGTCTCTAGCTCTCACCTTGGGAGTGCCCAAGAGCAAAGTAATAGAATAAGGCAGCCATGGGCCCTTCCAGAGGCCTGAAGCAGACTTTGCATATTCATCGTCCAGGGGAGATAGCCAGCTACGTGTTTGCAGAAAAACGTTGAACAGGATGATCTGTGTGAGCAGCTGAGTTCAAACGTGCAGGGAGCTGTAATGCAGTTAACCACAGCACTGCCTTGGGACACATCTGTCACTGTGAGACCCCTCAAGAGCAATATCTCTTTGTTTTTTTCTTTCTTACAGCTGTCTCCCTGGTGTGTTCACTCTTGCTCCGTAATTTGATGATACAGGGCTTTGGCAGCAATACTGGCTTGTGCAGTCCTGTCCTCTCATCCATCCCTTGCTACTTGTTCTCTCCCTAAGCCACAGTGCCCCTTATCCCCATGCTGTATGTGAGGCCATGCTGTGTACTGCTGGGTTTAAAAAAAATAAACCAAAATTACAGCGTGATGAAATGGGTTATATTTAACTCAGACCAGTTCCTTTTTTTTTTTCGAATCATAGTACGGCCTCATAAACAGTTGGGTCAGCACAAGCAAGGGAAGCTTGGTATCTGCAGTGCTAAGAGGGGAGCAGAGACACATGGCTGAGGAGCAAGACAGTCAGCTCTGCTTCTGAAGCCCTGGCTAACCCAGCTGTGGCCAGGGTTTGGCCTCCATGCCGGGGATGCCCCAGCCACCAGCAGGCATCTATGACGAGACATCTGGCGCCTGCATCAGCCCTGGGCTGGTGGGCTGCTCACAGTGCTCTGTGCTGCGAGGGACCCTGCTGAGTTCCCCAAGTCCAGTGCTGCTCTGCTTAGGGGGCTTAATGATATGTAAAAACACAGGGTCCTTGCTGCTAGGTGGAGGTATGCTTTGAATTTTCAGCTGCCCAGGCTGAAGAGAAAGTGGTTTGACAGTAGTGAATCCTTGGAGCATAGTCAGCTGCTCTTTTGTGTGTTCACAAGATTTCACTAACTGTGGACCTATAATTTATAAGAACATAAATAGAAATGAACACATAAATGAGGGATAGTGAAGCCTTTTCCTTTGGTTTCATTCTTCTCCTTGCGTATCAAGAGATGGTAGTATATTACTCCATCCAAGCTACTAAAGACTTGCAGCCTTCTCTGCTGTAGCAGGGGAACCAAATTCCTACAGAGTCTTAGAGAGGATGTTCAGTCTCAGGCAAGTAAGCAGCCTAGCATTTTGGTGATCTTTGAGTTGCAATGATATGTCACCGCATACCACTATTGATCAGGAGGGGGAAGAGATCCTAAATCGTATCCAAAAGAACAAAAAAGGTGTAAAAATTATAAAGGTTTCTGATACAAATTAAAAAGATTACTTCTGATGGCGTTGCATTTTGAATGACCTTTATCTAGAATATATGGCAGTATTACAAAACTGTTGGCAAACAACAGCAAGAGTAAAGCAGAATGAAAAAGTATAGGAAGAAAGCTAGAACTAGGCCCAAAGAAAGGCAGTCAGTTAGAAGGAAAAATCTGTTTCAGCTGAGGGTTTATGCTTAAACAAATTTAACATACTCTTTGAAAACTAATTAAGTTCAGTGTTCAGTCTGGATGCCTTACAGATGACAAACCACAATGAGAAACAGACTTCCTTCCAGTGTTTATACATTGAGTCTTGGACCTTGAACCATGGCATTTGTAGACTTCATTGAACTCTAGATCACTATTAGGTTTCTGTGGCCCTTGAATTCATATTACAATGCATTAAAATTATTTCAAGCAAGTGCTGCCAGTGGCAACTCATGTATAGTTCATAATAACCATATTTTTTTATATTTTCTTATATTCTGTTTTTGCTGCTGCTTTTTTTTTCCAAATCATCTTCAAGTTAACATGGTGCCTACAGGCAGTGTTCTCACCAAGGTCACTGTGACTGGGTTTCTGTGTTTGTCTGACTTTATGAATCACTATCTTTCAGCACCCCCAGATTCAAAAGGAGTCACAATATATCAAGTACTTATGCTGCGATGATCAAGCAACCCTGCATCAGTGGGTAACAGGAATAAGAATTGCCAAGGTGAGATTAAAAGTAAATTTAGTTAAGTATGTTTTCTGTAAAATCCTGTCTTCCTCAGGTTACTGACTGTCATCACCTCAAATGGAAATACTGTGACAAGAATGGATATTCATGCTAATTTTACCATAGAAAGAGTGAGCAGAAGGGCATGACGGGGGTGAATTTGCTGTATGTTCCTGTACCCTAGTTATCAGTGTGTTTTTCTCATAAATGTGAGGGTGAACTCTGTAGCTAAAAACTCATGTACTTGTAAAACTCACTCCACAGTTATCTGGCACATTAATAGTATGCTATGGCTAAAGATGTGCAAGCTCTGATCAGTCCAGCTGTGACATTTTTCAGACAGTTCTGGCCAAATTGTCTGCCTTACCCTCTTCAAAGAGGTCTGGGTTCACAGACCATTTTGGTTTGTGCAAAGTATTAAGGGAGATGGGTTTATACATAGCCCAGTATACTGGCTGTACCTGGCTATACAGACCCGCTCCTGTTAGGTGTATATTCTTTTCTGCCAGTTCTGCAGGGTGACATGCAACAAAGGTGTGGGGTGAACATCAAATTATTTTGTATCTTACGCTGACAGAGCTGTTTGCTCTAGAGCCCAAGATTCAGTGTCTCAAGTCTCCATTCTGAAGATGTAATACTTGGAAAGCATTGGAAAAAGATATTTATTGAGAACAGTTGGTTTTAAAGCCAAATTTCAAGATGCTTACAGATACTGAAATGAACATAAAATGTGAGAATGATATCAATAGGACTGTGTTTGGTCACAGGGATTCATGTTTTATTGTGCTGTTACGGAGATGCTTTCCACCTGGCCCTGTACAGAACTAGGCACAGCACTTGTAGAAAGCTACTTTTTAACAACATTGTGTAGGAAGGAACGGGGTCAGAAAAGTTGTCCAAGAGCACAATGAATGCTTGGCCTATTTCAAGCTTCATACCATGCTTATTGTGTTGTTTCAATTTTTCTTTCAGTATGGCAAGACGCTATATGATAATTACAAATGTGCAGTGAAGAAAGCTGGCTTGTCCTCTCGCTGGGCAAATCAAGGGACAGTGGAACCAGCTGCCCCTGCCGGATCCTTACCAGCAGGTACCGATGCTGCCACAGCAGTTGAAATCACATTTATTGCCCTCTTCTGTCATCATCACATAGTGTTGCTCATAGTCTTTGTTCAGAAAACTATCCCATGGATTCAGCAAGGTAGTATCTTGTTCTAGACAGCCCAGTGCAGCTCTGATTTATAACTAAGCTAGCAGCAGAGCTCTCACTTTAAAGTTAGAACTTGAAGAATACAAAGCGCACCAAAGGTCAGTTTAAATCTGCATAATTTAATAAAGTATTTTTCTATTGGCATCTGAATACAAATCCTTTATCCTCCCTCTACGTTTTGTGGACTGATGGTCCGTATCTTTTTCTGTTTGCCCATCTCTACACTGGCTGTATTGGAGCTTTTCTTCCAATGAGTAAAAGGGATGAGTAGGATATGCTGAGAATGATCATTTCAGAAAGAAATTATTGTAGGGTGAGCCACTCTCTTTCCTAGCCTTTCAGTCATTTTGCATGATAACAGTGTGGGTGTTAGGAGAAGGACGCAGAGGAAAAAAGGATTGAGTTATTCTCTAACTTTACTTTTCCAGTAGCTTCATCATGCGATACAACAGTGCACGATACTAGCTATAACTTGCATGGATGTTTTTACTTTACATGCTTATGATACACTTTATTTATTAGGAAGGGTATGTTGGCCAAGTACTTGCTGTCATAAGACAGGCAAAGTCAAAATCAGTGTTGGCAGTTAATATTCTGACTTGTCGTGTAGACAACTCAAAATCCTCCGAACACCTTCCCAAGGCTTTAGTTTGCCTTTTCTCAGTACATGTGAGAAGAGGATGGTCTTTCTACTGTTCCTTAGAGTCTAATCATGGTATTAAATGCACATTTGGGGTAGGGAGACCCAGTACCAGACTGTTTTGAGATCAGGGGATTTTTTGATGGTTGTGCGTGGGAGTACCTTAGTGAGGGCAGATGGGACAGTCATGGAGCATTTTGTGTTCTGATGTTGATGGCAGTGGGGAGGTGGCTGGCCAGTGGGGCTCCACGCTAGTTCTGCAATCCGTACTGGAACTGGGCAGGATCAAGGCCTTACAAAGTATATTATACATCTGTATAACTTCAGCTCCTGACTAGAATCCAGGAACACTGCATGTGACCATAAAATATATTGTTAATCTTAGCTAATGGGTCCCATGAAATGGTTAAGTAGCCTGGAAAGATTTTACTCATGTTGTCTCTGTGGAAATATCTCTGAAGGATCATTAGCATTCTAATTGAGGCAAGTCACTGTGATTTTTGCTGTCTTACAGTTATCATTCTGCCCTATATAAAACCTGGGGCCTGACTATAATGCTATAACCTGAACTGCCCGACAATGAGCAGTTGTTGGCTCATGGTTTGGAAATGGAACAAAGCACGTTTTCTTCTGTTCTGTTTTCAAACGGCTGTATAGCAATTTTTATGGTCTGATTTCAGTATAGGCTGAAATCTGCTATAGAAAACTACAGTCCTGTGTGAGCTTAGCAGGGGGCTGTACTCTATTAACTTCAGTGGCAGCCAAAAGCAATGCTCAGGAAGGCAGAACTTCTGTTCTCGCATCTCATGTAGCCTGTATTCCCTGGTCACGCTGCTGTAGCCAGCATTTGAGTGTTCATGTATACCCCAGACTGTGTAGTCTGTGGTTCTGGAGTGTCCCAAGTGCCAGGCACATCTCAGGCAAAATAACATATGTTGTTTGCCTCACTAGGTATGTTTATGGACACTAAAAAAACAGTGTATGTTGTGTGCCAGCACAATATCATTATGTTTGAAAGATGAAGGATGTTGCTTTATTCAGATGTTCCATGTCACTACAAGGCTCAATATTTTGCATTATATATTTTGGGTATCTATGTTTTGCATTATGTTTGGACTACATTTTTTTTCTTAAATACTAATTCAACGTAAAATTTTGGAGAAATTTACTTGCAAAGATGACTATAACATTTAAATTTAAAATAAATCTTGATAATAGAATGCATGAACTCGCATATTGGATTGACTGGGGGTCCCTTCTCTGACTGTGTATAGCATATGTGCAGGTATGTGACAGGAGTTGATATATCAAGTATTGCTTTGAAGTCTTGCACAGTTTATGAAATCCATTAACAGAAGGAGAAACAGATAACCATTTAGCCATGTCTCCACTTCCTGGTGTATTTGCTAAGTGTAACGCTCTATCGTGCACTGTATAGACTGGAGCTCTCTCTGCTGTCTTTCATTGGGTTAAATCTCAGTATGACTGAGGGCAGCAATGCCTTTGAGCAGTGTGAAGCCTGAACTGCTCTGCTATGGACAGCAGACAAAATGAGGAGAGACAGTAACTTGCTACACTTGAGGGCATGGCCACAGAACCCAGGGGTTTACACCTCTCCCCACTGCACACCTACAGCCACAAGATTTGTTTTATCTATTTTTTGACTTCCATGTTACTCCTTCAACAAACACAGACTGTAGTTTGAATAATCAAAACAGTACTTTGGATTAAATATGCTGAACAACATGCAGGCACAGGCATAAAACACAAGGACTTCAGACCATCTTCTGTCATCCTTTGAAGCCTAACTAGCCCTAGTAAATTCAGTACACTGCAGAGTTTGTCTTACTTCTCTGTCAATCGTGTGATTTGCAGGCATGGCAATAAAAATAATTTATTCTATTTCTTATCATGTTCATGGAACCTCTTTGCTAATCAGAAAAATACGTTAAGATTAAAACCATTGCTGTGCTTAGACTTATATTGTAGACAACTAAGGGTTCACTAGCATTCAAGAAGTACATGAGTAGAACTTCACTGGATCTCAGAACTATAATAGAGCCAAGGCAGTCATTAAGGTTTACAAATGTATGTATCTAGGCACCAGACACTATCTACTACTTTGACATGTACAGCTTCCAAAAATCCTAGACTAAACTGGAGAGTTTATTTAATCCTCATCAGACTGTACAGGGGCTGGAGATTTTTTCATAATTAAACCCACAAATTTGTCCTTTGGTCTCACATTCACTTACTCCATTTGACAGTACTGGGTTATTTGTGCATATCCCTTACAAACATAATAATGGTGGGCAGAAGTTTTGCAGAGCTTTAACTTAGCCAGCTAACAGATCTTCACTACTTTGAGAACAGAGGAGGTTCACAAATCTTCTATGATTCCAGATGGGGGAGAAGTTTCAGAGCTGTTAGCTCATTTACTAAAGAAAATGGATCAGCCCCTCTGTAGAACTTCAAACTTTCAGCTCTCATGACTCATTGATAGGAAACAATGGCACTTTTAATCTTTAGCCTAGAGTAAAGGAAAAAACCTATGCAATAAAAACTGAGAATGTAGTAATACTACAGCACACTACAAACTTCAAAATATTGTTAAGAAAGACGGGTATTTAAACAACAGAAGGCCAGAGGGTGAGCTTAACTATGCCTTTTTTTTTCTGCTTAGCTTCCCTTCCAAAGCCAGCTCCTCTTCTCTATTCCTGTGTCAGCCTTAATGGTCCCCTTCTGTAATCACCGTTGACAATAGTCAGAAGAAAAAGCTCTTCGTTTGTCAACACTTTTACACATTCTGATAATTTCTGTCATATGTCTTCATAATTCTGCCACTTGCTCTTCCTGTGGGATTGTCAGCTCCAACCATGGAGGCATGCAGACAGGTATTAGTTTCAATGTGAGGGATCTTGTTTATTTTCCTTAGGTAATGAACTGAATATGAAAAGTGACAAAATAAGCCTGAAGTAGAAAACAGACCTCTTCATGGATTTTACTGAATTATGTATAAAAAACCTGTAATGAGTGGTTCCTTGGTGGGAGCTGTAAAGACATTTTTATAGCCTTTTTCTTAGTTTGCTATTCCCTGATCTGGTTAATACCACAAAATGTAACACACTCTTCCCTGTCTCCTCTCCTTGTCACAGGTGCTGTTCAGTCAAATGGACAGATTCCCCAAATTGTTCGTCGTTCCAGTGCAGAATTTCCAGAGAGTCAGAAGAAAGTGGATACATCAGAGGTACAGGTCAGCAGTTACTAGCAGTGCACTAGTTAAATGTCACCTGTGAACCAGTTCTTCAAGTTTGTTTTTCTTCACACACTGTCTTCCCCCCTCAAAGTGCCACTGTACCGTTGTGACAAGGATTTGGCTCCTGAGTGAAGTGGCTGGTTCCTGCTGCCCCTCCTCATACTTTACACGCTACAAACAGTGTGCCCGTTGCACAGAAGCAAGGAGCCACCAATGCAAGGTGAAGGCACAGCCACCTGCCACTTCCATTCTTCAGAACAAATAGGCATGAGTTCACGTAGCAGAAATAGGAACGTGCTTAGTGGGACAGCCTCAAAGAGTCTGTGCTGCCAGAACCTCACGCCGTTTTCTGTCTCTGTCAGAAAACAGGTTTTCTCTTAGTAACACAAAGGGTACAGTAGTGTTTTTGGCAGGGAACACTGTGCACAGCTGAAGATGAGTGTGTAAGAAAGGGCAAAGTGTGAAAAAGTAAGGGAAAACATTACATGTTTTCATTAGGCTCTAAATGGATCCCTTGGTTAAGCTTCAAATTTTGCCTACTTGCTCCATCTCTGGTTCTGAAAATATCGTAGGGTACAGTATGAGGACTTCAGAAACATCCTACAGAAAAACCCCTGCAGTTGTTTGCAGTTCATTATTCAATCCCTCCATCATATATAAAGTGCACAGGACAAGTCAAATGAAATTCCTGGGATTTTTCTGTCACCTGCATTACGTGTCCTACACTTCTTGTTTCTGTCTTTGAGTTCCTCCTTTAAAAAGAACTGGTTCTCTGTTCTGAACCTCACTTCCTCTGGAATAGATCACGTTCTCAGAACTCAGCCAGTGGTTCCCTCCTCCTCTGTCTCGTTTACTTCCATCTCTGTAGGCAAGAACAGAGAGGAGGACAAGGCAAGCATGTTACACTTAGCTGATGCCAGAATTAGTACTGCTGACTGCAGGGTTGCAGAGCACTTTTCTCTAGCAGAAGCAAACGTGTTGCCTTCATCTCACAGCTCCTATGAGCCTGGGACCAAAGGATCAAGCTGAAGTCTTTCAGGGTGCGCTGTGCTACACTTAGAGCACTAAGCTAGCTGCATCTAAACTGATAAATTAGCATAACTAGAAATAAATGTGTTACAATGCTTTGTTTTCAGGACAGCAGACTTCACAGGTTTACAAGAATAGATAGCATGTTTGTGTAGTAACTGTCAACAGCTACCAGTTGCTACCTTAAAAAAAAAAAAATCAAAACAGAAGAGCAAGTTGTATTCAGGTATCACCAAATGGGCTTTATCTATCTATCTATCTATCTATCTATCTATCTATCTATCTATCTACCTATCTATCTATCTCCAGAGTGTCAAAACATCATTTAAAAGAAAAGCCACCTAAAATTTTGTCAAACATCTCCATAATGAACTGCTATCCTACGTTGTATTTTTCTTAACATGTATGAAGGATGCTTTGATTTGTTTTTCCTTCAAAAAAGTTGTCAGAGGGTTTGAACATAGAATCATTGAATGGTTTGGGTTGGAAGGGACCTCAAAAATCATCTAGTTCCAACCCCCAACATCTCGTGACCTTGCAAACACGGCTAGGACTTAGTAGCTTCAAGGGCCCGTTTGTCGCACTGCTAATTCAAAAGTGGAGGTGGTGTGTGCCGGTGTCTTGCCCAGCCAGCAGAAGAAAGACACCCTTCCCCAGGCTTATCCATGGCCCTTGCCAGGTCACGGGTGGAAAATCTTTCCCCAGCTGTGCGCAGCACAGAATGGTGGTGGGCGGCTGTCCCAAGTGCCTCTCCTCACAGTGTTTTGCAGTGCTCTCCCTCCTGCACAGAGGGGGCCCACACACTACCCTGCAGGTGAGTGCATGTCACGCCGTGCTGCAGAGCGCTGCGGACAGTGAATCCAGACACATAAACTCTAAAATATCCCCACCTTCTTCCTGGTTCACTGCTGTTGTGTCTAATGAGTTTGGCAGAGATAGGTGACTTCCTTATTTTAGCTTTATGCAGAGATCCAGCAGTCACAGTTAGATGAGAGATGGAGATACGAGTACAGGAGTGAGAGCCAAAACTACATCTGCTTTTTATGTTCTCAAATCTTGCTCAGTATTTTTGGATGCAAAAACACAGCACAGATCTTTTTTTAAGTCTTCATGTTCTCAGGGAATGAACAGCAGGGTGAAACATCAAGCAAGTATCTTTATATGTCTTACTAACAGCAGTTCTTTGAAATTTTAAAAGCACTCATTTTCTGAGGACAGCACTCGAAGAAGCACTATGAATCCTGTCAACAGGGAGTTGACACTGTCAAAGCTCTGTGGGCAGCTCCAGAAAGAAAACAAAATACTATTTGTACGCTGCAGGCCAAATGTACTCTACTTCGTTTCACTGCCTGTCTACTCCCCTCTTCTCATATATTTTCACTGTTCTTAGGCAGTGGCATTGGTTTGCACATGCACTGACTGGGTCTTTTCCTTTTATTCCTTCTGCTTATTAAAGGCTAAGTCAGACAATATCAGTGCGCCTGGCCTGGCACAGTCAGTGATGAGGTCACAGAGATACCAGAGTAAGAGGAACTCACTGCAGCCTCCTCCTCCACCTGAAAGGCGGTCATCTGCTATTTCTGTTTCACCAATTGTACCCTCCAAAGTCAAACGAGACAGCGGCATTTTCCTAACAGATCCAGACAGCTTTCCAGCACCACCACCTGCACTGAAGATTGATTTTCCAACACCACCGTCTGATTTCTGCGAGCCTCCTCCTGATTTTGTGCCTCCACCACCACCAGCCTCCAGCAGCGGTAATGGAGACCTGCCATTACCCCCTCCACCTCTGCCTGTTGCCAGTAAGCCACCACCTCTGACAAAGAAACCTGTGCCACTTCCTTCAACAAGGCTAGAAAACACAGGACAAGCTGGAGAGCCACGGTCAGCTGGGCCACCTCCCATTGGGGGTGGAGGCAGGCAAGCAGATTTCATGTCCGACCTGATGAAAGCTCTTGAGAAGAAAAGGGGCAGCAGCTCCTGAACTCTGGGAGCAGGTGGACTTCAAGCCATAGCTGGTTTTGTGAGGCATCATGGAAGGTTGTGCTGGATCAGGCTCCTCCAGGAGGAATTCTCCTTCAGAGTTCCTCCTGGGGGTCTCAAGAAGTAAGGTGGGGGCCCTCTGTCCCCTACTTTGTCCCTATAACCTGCTCCTTCCCCCCCGCCATTAACTACCATTCCAGCATCAGGCTGAGGTAAGAATTGGCTGTAGAGTCTTGCTTCAACCCATCAGGACAGCCAGGGATGGTGGAGCAGCACTCTCAGAGCCAGCCAGCAAGTGAAATGCATCTTCTGTGGCTGCCTCACTAGTAGAATTGGAGCTGAAGGAAAAAATACAACAATGTTCTCGTGTGAATTTTGAGAAGTGGGAAGAGCCCTTTTCAAAGAATTCCCCTTAAAGGTTCTTTATCAGAAACCCCCCAATTGTGTGGGTTTTTTTTCAATAAAAGGACCCCAGTCTTTTTCAAAAATAGTTTTGTCTTAAAAAGTAAAACCTCAGCTAGATTATTCTGAGATGCAAGGCAGGACCGGGGCCATTTCCAGACAGTGTCACCCCAAATGTCATACACTCCTGCTTCCACATGCAACTCCAGCCATTCCTGTCAGCACTTACCATTGCTGCCTTTAAGTCTCGTTTATTTGGTTAATCTTAGACAAAGAAAAATTTTGATTTCCAAATCCTGTGTGCTTCCCTTGGCAAGCAGGGATATTTTTTTCCTGTCAGTTAACACTCGTCTTCAAACTGTATCTAGAAATAGTCTGTCTTCTGAAAGACTTTGTAATTGTCTTCTACTTGATACAAATGTCTCTCCTACTTTTTTTTTTTCATTTTTTCTCCCATTTTAATTCTCCGTTGTTCATTTAGGCAGCATTCATTATTAGTTCTCAAATAAAAATAGCTTCTATTTTATATCTGCACAAAGTGTCAGAGTTAATGAACAGGCATTTTACTGGCAATTGGTACCACTCCAATTATTTTAAAGTTTTTGCCTATACCTTCTAGTCTTTAGTTTTATTTCTTCCAGTCTTTGCCTCTTGTCATGCACACGATCTTGTAAGATATCATAAGTAATATATTCCTGTATCTTGCAATACGAAAAGCAGAAAAAACGAAGTGTGTGGTCTAAATAAACACCTAAAAGCAGCTGACAGAGCCAGGGGTGAGCGCTGCTGTTTGTCAAAATGGAGCCCTGGGCCAGCAGTAGTGGTGGGAGGCAAAGGAATGACGAGCTGATGGCAGCACCACAGCCTGGGAAAGTTTTGGGTCATCTCTACCCTTATTTTTGGCTTAAGGTTAGTTTGTCAATAGCCACGTACCTGCGTAACAGCCTGGCAGAAATATGAAGGTTATAACCATGTCTTTATAATAAAGTGCCTTTCCTTTTGAAATGACTACCTTGTGGATTTTTTTTAAAAGCTGAAAACTGTAATGACATTGTCAACCACATGCCTTTCTTCCTGCCACTGTGTGGTGGGTTGACCCTGGCTGAGG